AATACATAAGAAATCACAACATACAATATAATAAACACAAAATATCACAATACAATAAAGACGGCACAAGGAAAAGTTAAGAGTCTAGTGGTCACATGACTGGTTTCTTTTCAGCCATTGTTTGATTTGAGTTTTTTAAGGTGACCAGTGTAGGACTCTCCTGTAAGAGGAGACAGTTCCAGATGTTCATGGCCCTCACACAGAGGGCAAAGGCAGTTTTTCTGAAGGGGACCTCACAGTCTCCTCTGGAGGAGGCCCTAGTTCTCAGACCACTTGAAGTCCTAGGTTTGAATAAGGCCGATACAGGAGGTGGGGCTAGTCCATGTAGCGCTTTGTAAATGAAGCATACATACTTAAAGTTGATAAAACGTTTGTAAATGTAAAAGATTTTAAAGATTGTAAACGGAGACGCGGCCGGTGGAGTCCAAAGGTTACAAAAGTGTGACAGAAGGCCAAAAATTAGATTTAATAATCAGAAAGTATATTATGTTTTTCATTTATTCAAATACCTCCTCTGTCCAATAGTAGTTTCTAGAAGAGAACAGTTTTATACATTAGACATGTTTTCTAGTGGCTGTTTATCTGTGTAACCTGATCCTTTGATGGAATGAGCTAAAGTTTGTTACATATTTTTAGATCCACATTTGATGAATAGATTTTTTTTTTACACAAAGTAGAAACAAAGAGAGTACTTGCATAAATTAAACCAATTGAATTTGAAATCAGACCATAATTTCTTTTAAATTCAAGTTTAATTTTAGAAAAATGTTTTAAGGAAACCATTGTCCGTTACACATTTTTCAAGGGTCATTTACATTTTGATTGATTCTTTTTCAAACATTTCTTTTTTAAATTTTAATTGTGTTAATGTTAAACTTTGTCTTTGAGTTATAACCTTGTAAAGTCCAGATATTATAATTAACACCCATCCATCCATCCATTTTCTACCCTTTAATCCATTTCTGGGTCAGGGGGGTGGCAATCAGAGATGCCACCCAAGTCTCATAGCACCAGCCCCTCACTGACCCTCTGCAGGTGGTGAGTCCACAGGAGGACGGCTGCTCTCTGAGTGTGAGCATAGCCTTGATCTTTCAGTGGGGGCTTTGGGCAAAGTGGGGTTAAGTGTCTTGCCCAAGGACACAACGACAGCAGTCGTCAGTGGGAGTCGGTGGAGAAGGTGCAGAGGTGGGAATTGAACCCACGACCTTCTGGCCTTAAGGCCAATGCTCTACCAACTGAGCTACTATCGCCCCCATTATAATTAACACTTTACTGTGAATACACCCATATGTTTGTGAACCCTAAAGATTTAAATCAAGCAATCTAATTCTACTTGCTTCTTACAGTAGAAGAGGTTGTTTCTCGAATGCCAAAAAAAAAAAAAAAAAAAAAAAAAAACATATTTCTTGATGCTAGATGCCATCGAGGATTCTGGCAGATTAAGTGTGATGAAGAGATATCAAAGCTCTGTTCTTTCAATAATCCCCATTGGCAGAGAAAGGTTCGTAAGTTTACTTTTGGCATCTCATCAGCACCGGATTTGTTCTAGAGATCCATTGAACAAACGATTACGGATTTTGATGGTGTTGTTAACATCGTTGATAACTTAATAGTTTTGGGAAACTCCAAACAAGAGTATGATCAAAGACAGAGCAAGAGAATACAAAAGGGAAACGTAGCCAAAAGAAGTGTTTATCATGACAAATGAGAAAGTATATTAGTCATACACTCAAGTACAATGATTTGAAACTAGATGAAGAAAAGTGAGAGCAGTGGCACAGCTCCACAGGACAAACAAGAACTGTAAAGATTTGTGGGTATGATCTGAGGAAACTGAAACAGCTCTTCACTAATGCTCCAACACTAAAATACTACTTACTACAAGGGCTTATTTTAGGCTTAGTCAGTTTTGTGGTCCTCCATCTATGTTTGACCTACTTTTTGCGAAACTTTTGTGGTTTGCTGTTACGCTAACCCTGGTGCTATAATTCATTTGCATGTCCCTTATAGCAATAAACGCAATAAGGACTTGTAGTTAATGAACTGGTTAATTCAGCGATTCTGTGGGAAAACCAGAGTAAAATATAGTTGATCTATTTGGAGACAAACTGGACAAATTACCTTCCTATTACATGTAACCCACATGAATTAGGTCCACATTGTCCCGGCCATATCACCCTTTCCCTAAACCACAAACTACTACAGACTACAGACTTTCAAACAAATGTAACAAGTAACAAATGTCTGGTCTAAGATCATTGGCCAGCCAATCAGATCCCTTCCTGTCCTGTGTGATCAGCAGGCCATGAGAGTGGCCTATAGGATTCTCAGAGACCCTGCTCATGTTCTCTTCCCTGGGTTTGAATGGCTGCCTTCAGGGAGGAGGCTGCGCTCGGTGGGATGTAGAACGCAGAGGAGGAAATCCACTTTTGTTCCTACAGTGACTCAGCTGCTGAACTGGGACCCATCATTGTTTGGAGTGTTAAAACGCTCCGAACATTAACTTATACAAGATGTGTGTATAAATGTATTTATGTGTTTTTTATTGAGATTTTTAGCATGTAACTTGCAACTCTCCGTGCTTTTTAATTGCCCCTCGGGGATAAATAATGTGGTTGATTGATTGATACAAAAAGGTCAGGTGCTTTTGATGTGGGCCTGGTTTTGCGGAGGCTCTGGTCTTGGGTCTGGTCTTTGGTCCGGCTCTAAACTTGGGTCTAGTTTTGGTGTGGGTCTGGTCTTGGTCCTGCTCTGAGTTTGACTGGGACTTAGCCCAGATCGAGGTCTAGACACAACTCAGAGGGCCGAAAAAACACATTTGCTACAAGCCGAGGCCTGGACTGGTGCAATGTTTATTAAAAAATATAAAAAATGATTGCATATAACCATTGAACCAAAACCTAACACCGTATTATATTTATAAGAATAAATTAATTATCCAAAGAAGTCTTCTGTGCGGCCGGTTCTAATACTAATCAGATATCATCCCAGGGGTCAAGATAATTAATTTACTGGCCGGATCTGGTGCACGGGCCTCAACTTTGACACCCATGGTTTAAACGCACCAGAAAATTGTGGAAGAGGAAATCTCTACAAGAATAATAAATTATATGTATTAAGTTAATGCATGATTAAATACTTACTATGCTGCCACTTCATACATAAATCATGCATCAGTTCCTTTACTTTGGTGTAGAAATGAGATGTTATGAAAGATGCAATATAAGCCTCTAAAACATGTTCATGTCAGCACACTGTGGAAGGGCTAAAAAACGATTTCATCAATGAATCAAATGTTACGTTTCTGACGTTTTTATGTAAAAGAAGATTCAATTTATTTCCTTCCACCTTCTCCACTAGCGCTTCCTCATAAAGCTGCGTGTTTGCAGAAAATGCACAGTTTGAACTCTATTAGCGATGTCGGTGTCTGAACAATACTTCTTTTATGACCACGCTTTACTACAGCAGCCGTGGCTCACCTACTTTTGAAATGGAAAGAGGAGAGGATTACTAAAGCCATGGCTGTGTTAGAAGTTGGCCTTGTTAGCCTGTAGCTAACACCAAGAAGATGCTAAATGCACAGAAACAGAGTGAAAGACGTTCATCGGCTACCGCTAGAAACGTGAAAAATTCTGTAGAGAGAGTTTTAGTGTGAGAGTGCGTGTGCATGCGTGTGTGTGTGTGCAGAGGCAAGGCAGGCTACTTGGAGCTCCCAGTCGCTTGGGCCGAGACCTGAGGTGCATTCAATCAATTTTGGCAAACATTGGTGAATGTTTGCAGTGATGTCCGCTGTAACGCATTCAAACTGCTGCTAAAAAAATCTGTGCGTGTGTGTGCCTGTGCGTGTATGACATGGAGATTGATACCAAATAAACGTCTTTTTACCCTTGTTCTCACAAAAAAACATGTATTGCCATCCCAGTTAGAACAGGCTTCATCAAAAAGATCTGGATTTTACCCGAGAATAAATCAATCATTTGCAAAGACAAATGTGTTATTTTGTATTATCAAATGCTTTACTTTAGATTTGTATTCAGTGGAAGAGATGGTCCTTCGCTGAAAGGAATTTATTGCACACCATTTGGAAACCCCAAGATAATTAGGGTTTTTTGTCTAGTTAAAGGGAAAGCATAATTCGATGAAAAATTAGGTTTAAAAAAAAATAATAATCATCGCCCAGCCCTTCAATGTTGTAAAATATCTGCATCCAAATTGCGTCCATTACAACGTGATTATAGTTCAGTGTTGTTATTAAATCATGTCTGTTGGTTATTGAATTTGATCTTTTTCCAAACAGAAAAACTAAAACTAGGACTCCCAGAATATGGACACTACTAGAACTCCCAGAGCAATCATTTTGATGGCTCCCAATCAAATGAAGGAAATTCTGAAGAAAAAAAAATCTGTTTTACTTTTTCACTACTTTCACTACAATTAAGTAATTCATGTTTTTTGTCTTTCTTACATGCTAAAACTGGTGAACTGAAATACAACAACAAAAAATACTAACCTAATGGTCATGGGTTGGAGCCCATCACGACCCATGTCACCTGCTCCCACTGATCCCCCCCTCCAGAAATGGACTAATAAAGGGGTAGGAAATTAATTAATTAAGAAATACAAACTGCTGCAAGTAAACAGTGTGTTGCTATGGTAACTAGCACAGAGATTGCTCTGAACCAGTCTATTATCAGTTTAGGATCGTTGTAATTTCCAAAACATAATGACAATAATAAACTTAATAAAGAAACAGAAAAAGTCACAACGTTTTGAAGATCAAAAACGCACATAAGCGTAGTAATTACACATCCAAAACGAAAAGCCGTCAAATTGACTGCTCTGGGAGTTCTACTGTTAAAGCAAGGATTCGGTATTCTGTCAGTCATAGGATCACACATGTGTATGTGTGTGAGAGTGTGTATGGGGGGGTGGGAGGATGATACGGTAGTTTTACGCACGGCACTCGCGCGCACGGTGTCCGCGCGCACGGCTCTGCTCACCCGTCATGTTGATGTTCTGCTCGCAGGAGAACCAGATCCCGGTGTGGAACTTCCTCATCACGTACTTGTCCTCCCCGGACTCCCAGATGTACTGCACCAGGCGCGAGTCGTTGAGGTTGGAGCTGTTGAAGCGGATGCAGAACGCTTGACGCGTGGTGACGGGTCCCGTGCAGAAGGGCTTCACCACCTTCCGCGTGCCCTCGCACCAGTAGCTCGTGGTCAGCGCGGACACGGCCAGAAACAATGCCACGAAGTTGAGCCCAAGAGCCAGCGTTGCTCTCCTCCGCCGATCTATCCCCATGACGCGTGCTCTGTGTGTGCGCCTTAAACTCCCGTGCTCCTCTTCATCACGCCCGGTCCTGGTGCCCGGTTTCACGGTGCCCTGTGTCCCTCCGCGCGCCCTGTCCTGACCGGAATGCGCGCATCAATGCTCCGTGCGCGCATTTTGTAGGTGTCTGCGTGCGCGTCAGGAGGCGTCATCCCCCCCTCTCCCCCTTTCCCCTCTCCCTCTCTCCCTGTGCGCACGGCAGGGACGTGCGGTGAGGTTTGTGATTGGGGAGGCACTGACTTTAAAAGTCAGATTTACAATCATTATTCAAATAAAATAGCATTTAATCACCAATGCAATGACATCCACAAACTTTATATACTGTAAAGATAAGAGAACCAGCTTCTTTTAATAATCTCACAACAAATCTAGCTGCTGACTCTGCTCCGCATCAAACAACATCTTTAAGAAGCGCAGGTGCGAGAGACGCGAGGAGAGAGAGACGCGAGGAGAGAGGAGCAGAGAGAGACAGAGAGGAGCAGAGAGACGGAGACGCGAGGAGCAGAGAGAGACGGAGACGCGAGGAGAGAGAGACGCGAGGAGAGAGGAGCAGAGAGAGACAGAGAGGAGCAGAGAGACGGAGACGCGAGGAGCAGAGAGAGACAGAGACGCGAGGAGAGAGAGACGCGAGGAGAGAGGAGCAGAGAGAGACAGAGAGGAGCAGAGAGACGGAGACGCGAGGAGCAGAGAGAGACGGAGACGCGAGGAGAGAGAGACGCGAGGAACATAAACAATAATTTAAACAAGTTGCAGAACTCTTGAGCAGTGTTTGAATCAGTGTTTTTCGGAAAAGCACTACTTTGCCGGTATCTGTCAATGTTCAACATAAAACACAGATTAACAAACTCCTCCCCCGCAGCCGGACTAACCTCGTAAGTCCAGTGGTGGTCTCCCAGTCTATATTAATTCTTTCTTTGTTTGAAAGTCCAATTGAGAAAAAAAATCTTCATTCAAATCATCCATTTTCCAGCAAAAGAAATAGCATTTTGGGCTGATTGTTTGTTAGCCAACTCTGGTATGAACTTTATGCTCACTATCACCCCTAGCGGTGAGGCACAGATACCGCCTGCCTCACGCCAAGCTTTTTCCTTGTGTGTTCATCTACGATCAAAAGACTTAAACTAAATATAAATTGTACACACATACGTGCAATACACTACTAAACACTAAGAGGAGTTTAAAAAATGTTTTTAAAGCAGGATATTTGAAACAAACGGTGATATATCAACTGCACGAGCTGAGTGCACTCAGACACACACACACACACTGTGAGGGAGCGGTCTGGGGTGAGGCACGCAGGAGCGCTGCCTCACCTCGTCTCTTTCAATAGGAATAACGGGATTTCGGCGATTTTGACTTCAGAAATGATCAAAACTGATGGGAACCGTGCCGAATATACATTAAAAGCATAGGACAGTGGATATAAATTATATATTTAAACTAAAATAATTATTAGTTTCCAATAATGGCAGGTGAGGCTCTGCCTCCCCTGACTGCACGTCCCTGGCGCACGGAGACATCAGAGAAAGTCAAAGTCAGACAAAACCGTTCCGTTTTAATAAATAGCTATTACCAGGGTGTGTGTGTGTGTGTACACACAGTTAAATAAAGTTATTATTTTCACCATAAGTGATGTTCTGATTGGTCAATTCCAGCCTTTGTTTGGAGTTACCATGGTTTCTTCAGCTCGGTCAGTCCTGGAGAGCAAAAACATCATGTTCATTTCAATATCTGTAATTATTATTAAGTTTGATACAATGTAAGTTCAAAGTGATTGTCTGCAGTTTGTCAGAAAGAGAGAGAGAGGTACTTGATTTGAAAAAAAAACGACGCAAGCTCCCTCCCCCGTCCTTTCTGATTGGTCTACACCTACGCTTTTAAATGTTAATGAGAGTACATTCATATTTTTAAAAGTAGGCTCAAGACACACCTTTTTAGATTAGCTTTTGATTAGCTTTTATTATTCCATTTTATATATTCTATTTATCTTTTATTATTTATTATATTGCTATTGCTATTATTCATGTATTGTGTGATAGTTCCTTTTAGTCTCACATTTTAGTGTTTTACTTATTGTATTGTTATTTATTGTATTGTTTTTAGTGTACCCAGTGATTCCTCTGGAAGAGCCCTCTGCACTGGGAGCGGTGGTCGGCTGTGGCTTTGGGGGTCGGACTCTTGGACCTGGCGGGACCCTGGGGCCTCGGCTTCGTGTCTCTTCTGGGTCCTGTGTTGACTCGATTGGTTAACGTGGACGGCATCGTGGATTTTGAGCTATAGCTAAGAGAAGGGAAGGCGGGACTTAACTGTAATATTAGAATTGATAAAATGACTTATTTTATATCAACATTTAAGGCCAAGAGATAAATTTACAACAATTCTTAAAATTTGTAATTAATTTAGAGTTACATGCTATCACTTTAAGTCGGTCAACAACAACAGTTGTTGGTTACCACATGTGCTTCACAGCAAGAAGAAGACAAACAGGCGCTATAAAAAAAGATTACTTACTGTGTGTAATTATACTTTTTACTGATCTTTTAATTTCCCTTTAAGAAACAGAATTATAGACTTTCAGCTTCAGAAGTGCTGAGCTCCTTTGAGGCGAACATGCAAACATAAGACAATTATATATACTCACACAAATCATGCTTGGATTATTATTTGTATATTAGTGCATTTTCAGGCATTTGCAAAGAGTGTGGTCTGACTCCAGCCTAGAGTACTTTACAAAACAACAGTAGTATTAATGTGAGATATATTTCATGTCTGGACTTTCTAAACTCTTTCTAAACACTTTTTGCCTATAATATTTCAGGTGTGCGTGTGTGTTCATTTGTAGTTGTAATGACAAGTAGTCACAGCTTTATAATGAGAATGACTGTGGATGACTCTGGACAAGATTCAAGTGAATAAAAAACATTAAAAGGTACTGTATATGGGAGGATTTTCCCAATTATTAGGACAGAACCTCCCTCGTTGCATAATAACAAAATGATTGACAATAAGGAGAACCAATAGTTTATAATTTAGATGATCCATACAGAAGAAGAAAATCCTCCCATAGACCTATAAATAAAAGAGAGAGAGGCTGCTCTCAGCACGGGGATAAAGCGGAATAAAATGGTAAGATACGTAGTCCTTAACTGCCTGAACATCTGACTGAATTGTCAGAAAAGCCTCTATACTCTATGGTTCACAGTTATTTCAGTGTAAAACATCCATCAGTGTAACAGTCACCAGGAGTCCTCCATGTTGCCGTATGCCTTGTTTTTGCAATTGTTCTATTAAAACAATTTTAGACTACTTACTTTTGTTTTAAAAAAATGGTGCAGGATCAGGGCGCTGCAGTATGATCTCTGGCGTGCACTATCTGTTCTTTGTCTTGTGCACACTGGGGACTTTTGCACATGTACTCCAAGGTGGTTTTACTGCAAATGGCAAATAAATGAATCTGAATGAATCTGAATAGGAAAACAAAGAAGACCATCCATGTCGTCGTAGTGTCAGGATTCATTATAATGTAACAAGTGCAGTCTATACTACAGTAACCAATATATTTCAAAGGGCTGTTATGGATGCAGTTGGGTTATCAATGTGCGAAAACAGAGAAGACTGTGTACAATGATGGCTGTGTGTGTGTGTGTCTGTGCGTGTTTTGTGTGCCTCCAACCAGTCCCATAGTTGCCACCAAGTTTCACACTAATTGGCCTCACGCAAATCTGGGAATCCCTGTGAAGCTGTGTGCGCTGGAATCAATTGGAATTTCAAGGCAGTCTAGAAACTCTGGCCGAAATGTTGGCATGGACTATAATGGGAGGGATGGCAAGACATCCTGTATCTTTTTTGCTTTTTCCCTTATTTCATAGGCCGGCAAGTAAAAAATAATTAATTTCTGTCTTTATTGTCCCAGTCTAAACGACCCTTTATTTTGAATAATGACCGGATTCTCCCCTTGGTCACGTGACACGATAGTGCTGAAATGTAAACAAATGTCCCGTACGTGCCTTTTGAAGACTCTCCTGCTGCATAGAAACTCGTCAAGTGGAGAAATGTAACTTTGATAAGAAACAATAGCGGGAATGTATTTAAGATAAATCCACGATGACCAGAGGAGCCAGGACAGGACAGTGGCCTTGGACTTGAGCATACACAATGGCACAGCTGAGTAGAGCCCTGCACGGACCTATTATCTGGGCCCGAGCCCGGCCCTGGCCCGAGGGGGTGGCGCCCCAGCCCGGCCCGGCCCGACATGGTTTCTGAAATCTCAGGCCCAAAACCCGTATTTTTTTTTTTACCTCCCATAAAACCTTTTTTGCATAGTATATATTGCCGCGCACGAATATGAACACAGTTATACATGTTAGTGATGTGTTGCAATGAGTTCTGTCTGTACGGCGTGAACGGCTGCAGCTGCATGATACACAGATAAACTACAACGCACTGGAAGGTAACGCTATGTGTCGTCAATGACAATACTATACAGAACAACAAATACTACAGCGTGATAGAACGCTGCATTCATCGGGCGTGTTCGTAAATTTAATTTGCAGCTCTGAAAATGTATAAATAAAAGTGCCCAAGCCCGGCCCGTGTCCAAAGTAATTATACGGTCATTGGCCCGAAGCCCGGTCCTCGGGCTATGGGGGTGTCAGGCACCTCGGGCCAAGGGCTCAAGTGCAGGGCTCTAGAGCTGAGGCTAAAAGCCGATGGAAATAACATTCTTATCAACAAGCAGAGCTCGGCTAATACTAAGCCACATATTACAGCGCCGCGTCCTGCTCGTTGTCCTGCTTCTCCAACACATTCTGCCACGTTCAGGACAGTAACAGTGTAAAGACAGTCACACTTTGAGCACATGTGCGTCATGCTTTTATGTACAAACTACAGAGATGGGCCTCCTTTTGTTTTAACACAGCCTGTTTGTTTGGGGGGTTTGGGTGTCGTGCATAATCAGACGTTAAACTGTTCCA